ATGCATGTATTCAACTTTATATGCATACCCTGTTTCTGCAAGGTTTATTGCTTGTTCCACATTTACATTCATCTGTACACAGCACGTTTCTCCCTTTGCACGGGCACCCACGAGAACTATTTTCTTTGCGCTTCGTCGTACAAGCACTTTTACATTTACAAAAGATCACCGAAGGTTCCTCAGTAAAAGAAATTCACTTTCATGAGCATTTGCTTTGGATAAACTTAATTTAAATGCAAAATATATGCAGAATTCTTCAACTCACTGATATTTCTCGGAGAGAGTGTATGCTACCCGTGACAGTGTCCCTTAAAATCAATCAAATAACTAGGAGCAAGACCATATAAACACTTAAAGGTAAAAAGTAAAATCTTAAACTTTATACGGTAACTAATCGGGAGCCAATGAAGATGGAAAAGCAATGGCGTAACATGGGAGCATCTTGGTGATCAAGTGACCAACCGAGCAGTGGCATTTTGTATCCGTTGGAGTTTCATGATATGTGAATTTGGGAGGCCGTATAGTAGACTGTCACAATAATCTATTCTACTGGTTATGAATGCATGAACTAATGATTCAGTGACTGGACGACTTAAACATTTTCTAATTCTACGTATGTTGTAAAGATAATAGAATGCAGAAGAGTAGGTATTAGTAGTAGTAGTAGTAGTAGTAGTAGTAGTAGTAGTAGTAGTAGTAGTAGTAGTAGTAGTAGTAGTCTTTATTTAACACTTAATAGTTAAAAACTAATAAACTTGTGGCCCTCTACTACATGTGAATGAAAATTACATTATGAAACTATAAACAATGGACAGGTAATAACTCTATGATAAAAATCGAACAAATAGATAAATACATAATAAAGTTCAATAAAATTATGGATAAAAGTAAGGCAAATGAGCTTGATCTTGCAGAAATTGCTTTCTCGAGGCGCGCTTAAAACATTTTACACTTGGCTGCTTCCTTATTTCGCATTCTAAATTGTTCCAGTCCTGTATTTCAGACACTACAAACAAGCTTCCTCCTTCCGGCTTTCTCTTGTAAGTAGGCGTAATAATATTCAAGCTGGCAAACCTGGTATTACGTGAATGCCGAGAGCTATTCAATTTCAAGGAGTCCATAAGGTTCTGTTAATATGACTTAGCATACTCATTTTCGAATCAAACCAGGTTCCTAAGTTTCGAACATCACCTGAAGGAGCAATTTGGGACTCGCCAACCGATAAGATACTAATGTTACTGACTTTCTGAAGTTGTTGTTGCGTTCCAATCAAAAGACATTCTGTCTTATCCGAATTCAGTTTTAACTTATCCGTATGTATCCACTGACTAATATCAGCGATAAGATTCCATGGCAGTTAAGGCAGCGATTTCCTCCATGTCATTTCCTGGTCTAAACGCGATGTACAGTTGTGTGTCATCTGCGTAACAATGGGGATTAGGAAGATGTGATTCGACGATCTTAAAAAGCTTGCTGGCTTAGAGAGAAAATAATAAAGGCCCGAGGCAGCTGCCTTGTGGAACTCCAAATTTAAGATTGAAAATATTCGATAGAGCTCGTCCGTCTATAGAG